AACATCGATTTCAATTGTGGCCTGGATCGAATGTGGGGTGACCGCGCGTCGTTACACGGAAAATTTAAATTTATAAAGTTTCCTCGACTAACCTACACTAACTAGTAGTAGTGGCAAGTAAGGATCGATCCCACGACGAGCAGGAATTAAATTGTGATTATTTTTCGTATTAATCGAATTAAAACTAAGAAAGCAATAAAATGGGGGGGTTGAATTGATAAAAATAAAAATAATAAAATAAAAATAAAATTATATAAGATGAGAGAAGTCCAGTTTTCGGTTCAGTTATCGCCCAATCTATATCTACCGTTAACTAATCTAGACGCTTGCTTTAAATTGCTAATAAATTACCGACCCTAGCTAACAACAAGCTCTGTTAACCGAATTTTTCCTTACCGATTATTTAATCGAAATAAGCTCTTCGACTAAACCTAACTAACGGACAACCTAGAATAAGCTCTCTAGATTTAATACTAGCAGCATTAATCTCTAGGAAAATAGATCAGTCTAAGCAATGGACGCACAAGCTCGGACCATTTAACTTATGTTCACGCTATCCTAGAGATGCACGACCCCTAGTTTACTACTAACAAACAAGAATATAACAATTATGTATTAAAGTCTCGAATCTTGCAATTAAAGTATGAACATTCAACATAGTTGGCCAAACTAAATCAAACACTATAGTTCATAAACATTAAACACAAATAACGTGAATCAACTCATCAACAAAAATAAATACCCCGTCTAGATTAATAAACGATAAATATAAATCCTTCAATCCATAGACAAATCAAAGTTAGGGTTGAAACATTCTCTCAAACTGGATAAGAATCCTAAACTAACAAACTAATTAAAATAAAAAAGATAAAAAAAGAGAATAGAATTTATCCTCTCATGTACGAGTGCAGCTTTCCTCCGCGTATGTACTCTCTTTCTCTGCGTGCGCGGGTGAATTCTTTAATGTACGTCTGGTTGTTGTTTTTCCCCTATGTCCATCTATATCAAAGTCTTAGTAAGTTCGATTAATATTTTCCCTTCATTTCCTTTTTCACGCATGAGTCCTTAATTGAGAGTCCAATTCCACTTAGATTCCTTTCCAAGTGAATTCAATATCATTTTCCTCAAGTCTGACAATGAAAATGAGAGTCCAATAACATTCTTTACCCACTCGCATCATAAGTCCACCAATTCGCAAAATTCTTAATTATTTCCTAGCTGCCATGCATCACGCCCAATCACCAATTCCCGGCCACGTCATCACCTACTTAGCTGCCAAATCATTGATATGCATAGAAACTGCAAAATAAATACAAAATCCAAATATTGGTGTATGTCAGTTCACAAAATAAAATACGTGAAAAAACTTGAATAATACACTAAAATCAAATACTCAAATATGCAAATTAAATCACAAAATAGTACAAGATTTCTCACGTATCAAATCTCCCCAAACTTAAACCGTTGCTTGTCTCCAAGCAACATAGAACTAGAGCACAAAGAACGGACAAAACAAACAAGTACGTGGAATTTTCGCTCAGGTCCTCACACATCTTAATAAATGCATAGCTACAACTTCTCAAATTAATAATCCCGGACTCGAAATGAAATCATCTTTAGAATGCCAACAATCAAGTATCAATCCAGTCTCCTACGGCCACTGGGCCCTCCTCTCTAGTGAAGACCGGAGGGGTGTAAGTCCGGAACTGGGCTGCGACTACTGACTGATCCCGCTCTGCGGGTGGAGCTCTACGGGGCGGCATTCTGAATAGCCAAATAACAACTTGATTAGTATAGTCAATTAATAAATAGCTACACTACTTAACGAATTTAAATAATTTACCGAAAACACCTAACTTGGCTAGAGTCCTGGTTTCTGCTTAACTCTACTGATTCTAGCTCGAATTATGATATAGTCTAGAGTTGGACTTATCTAAACTTTCTAAAATTCTGTCTAAAGTTCTCTTTCTAGTCGGAGGATAGATGGCCCCTAAGATCTCTTACTATATTCTCATGCACTTGCAGAAATTTAAAACTTAGGTGACTTACTTCGGAGTCGGCACGGCGTGAGCGTGGCGTGGTCATGCTTTTCTAAACTTTTTAAGTATACAGAACCACAAAGTGGCTCTGATACCAACTGTAACACCCCGCCTAATTATTCTAGAACTTATAAAATCAGAGTAAAATTTTTACCTTTTATTTTCGAATAACTCTTTAACTTTATTTTCGAAAATACTCATACTAATTCGCGGGATACTACTAACTTAAACTCTTTCTCATGTAGACGTAAATAAATACATGCAACCTAATCAAATCCGTTATATAAAGGTACCACGGAGATAAAGGCATTAAACATGCATAAGTCTGAATAGCTCATAATACTTACTAAGTCTGAAATGTGCTGAAGCTGAAACATAATATGTCTACGCATAGTAATAATAATACATGTTCAATAAATGATATGTAAATGCGTTACAAAAAGACTGCTAATGACCACGACCACCACTGAAATCTCACGCGCCACACGCTGCTCCGTCACCTGAAAAACATAATGGGGGCGTGAGCAAAACCACTATGCTCCGCAAAGACCAGTACTTAATTATACAACATCGTTAATAACAATATCATGACTTTAAGTATATAAGAACTGATCTGAACTGAAACTAAAACTGGGGCATCTGGTGGTCATTAAGACCCTGTGCTTAAAAGCCAATCATATGCACACTCCGGGGGATCATTAAGGCCAATTAAGGCCTCCCTCAGAACCACGGGGGATCATTAAGGCCCGCCACGACCTCCCTCATGGTGAACTAACTATTTCTCATACATACCTCGGAGGCTTGACTCTCCTTAAGCTACAACA